TTGCGAAGTCGATGGAAGAAGGTGGAGGGCGCGCGCACGACACCGCCCACGCACCCAGCAACTGCGAACGCGCTCCAAAAAAAACAGAGGCGCCGCGCGTAATGCGAGCTCACTTCACCGCCGGCGCGTCCCGTACGATAGCCCCTCCGCCAAAAGCTTTCGCAGCGCGCGCCGCGCCGGGTTTGGCGCGGCGGCTGGCTCAGCAAAACTCAAAATTCTGCGAAAAGCTCAAACCGAGTTGGGAGTTGCAGGCGTATGGCTGACTATTGTATGTCCCATTGAAATTCTCCTTCCCACTGTGGACGCCCAAGACGAGCTCCTCATTTACCGGGCAAGCAACCCTCCCATTGACGCTTGAGAACGACCTGTAGCAGCTCGCTTGCGCACTTTTCCTACCACAGAACTCTCCAAGTCCTGCGACTTTCAACGCATCAGCGTCCTCTGTGACCTTTACCCACGGACATCTGCCACGCGACGCTTAGGAGTCTCTTGAAAGCACTGTCTAGACCGCAGCTCTGCTGGCACGGCTAGCTCACTCGCCATGGTGTGGCCATTCAGCTCTACAGGCTCGAGCGCCTCTTCCTCAGGCATCCGCGATGCTCAGAACCCGAGCGGTGGAGCTGAGCCGGTGTGGTCAGCTTCCGAGCCTTCATCAAGCAGCTCCACAGGCGCCGCCTACTCGACTCCGGCATCGTCACAAGATGCACCGATGTCGTCGGGCGTATCAGAAGGCACAGCTCCCGAGCCCGTTCGCAGGCCGACCACGCTGCTCTCCTTGACCAATCCAGCATACATGTCTGCTAGGTATCAATTGGCAGGTCTGAGGAGCACGGATCCTAACGATCCCAATACGCAACACAACATCGAGTACCTAGATATTGCCGATGGTGCGCCCAGCACATTGGAAGGCGGAAGAACCGCGCTGCCGAGCAGAGGGTGGAGCGACGACCTTTGCTACGGCACTGGCACAACGTATCTGAGCGGTGAGTGGCGAAGTACCTTTGCTGGCTAGCAAGTTCATTCTCGCTGATGACTCTCCCTTCCTTACGGGTCTGTAGGCTTGGCGCTAGGTGGTCTTTTAGGTGCACGGGAAGGACTGACTCGACCTCTAGGAGTGTCTAATCCGACTTTCCGCTTGAGACTGAACGCTGTGCTCAACCAGGTCACACGGAGAGGAGCGTTCTTCGGCAACAGTGCTGGTGTCATTGCTCTCATCTACAACATATCCGATGCAATCATCGATAAGAGTAGGGGCAAGCATGACATGCTGGGCAGTGTGGCTGCTGGGGGTATCAGTGGAGCTTTGTTCAAAGTTACAGGTGCGTCCAGTCCTCCGCAATGGTGAGGGGGCATCACGAACCTGCGCTGACTCCAACAGGTATTGCCTATCTCATTCTTGCATCGCAGCGGGCACCCGTGCGATGGCCATCTCTTCAGGACTCATGATGGGCGCGGCTGCAACGTGGACGGCAGCTAAGGCAGCATTCTTGTGATTTGGACAAGCGCTCCAACTTGTGCAATGTCCAGATGGGATACGGATCATACATCGACACCACCACTCTGACCTCTTTTAAGACTGGCAGTATAGAAGTGGAAAGCTATTGCGCAATACGATGGAAGTCACGAGCGACGCGAATAGCGGGGGTGGCCCGTTGGACAGCAGGCCGCGTCCTGATTTTGAAAAGAGAGACAAATTTCACTAGAAGTGCGGGTCGGCTAGCTGACGCTTCCTCCGTCACACCGACGAGAGCTTGGACGGCAATAGCGGCCTGCACACAGATGGGCTGAAGCCATGTTATTTCGGAAGTGGTGGTGATTTGCGTTCGGCAGCAGGGCCAGGGGTGTTCGGGAAGCTTTGATGGCTCATATGTCATCAGTCGCCTGTGCTAGCTGGGTGGAGGTCAAGTGTCAGGGCGAGTCTTGATGCGGGCAGAACTTCCGCCGACCATGGAGGACAACATGTAAAGACGAGTGGGACGTTCAACGCGAGCTGAAACTTTTTGGCATCACAGAGAGGTTCGGGCCAAATGTCAGATCAGCAACCTGAAGTCTTCCGGCTCGACCAGGCTCGGTGGCAATAGGGCTCACCTTCCTTTGCCCGGCTGAGTGGCA